TTATGATGCTTATGCAAACAAATTCTGGATCTCCTGAAATGTGATTTTCGTTGAAAATCAATATTTCTTTCAGTCTCAGTTTATTTCTGACCCTCCTATTAGTGTTCTACTTGCTTTTGATGATGTACCTTCTTTTATTAAGTGATTTAAACTAGGTGTGGTGTATCATAGACGTCCTCTTTCAACGCCTCTTCTAAACACTAATCTGTCATCTGATTTTACGTTTCCTACACTTCAACGCTTCACCCGGGTTGCACATCTACCAAATTAGCATGGTTTTTCTCATACCTCGCTTATTACCACTTAAGCATGTTGGCAACAGGCTATGCATGAAGAAATCCAAGCTCTACAAGATAATGACATTTTGGATCTTATGACTTGTTCCTTAGATGTCAAACCTATTAGTTGTATATGGGTATACTCAGTCAAGATTCGGTCTGATAGGTCACTAGATCAATATAAGGCCCATTTCGTGGCTCTTGGGAATTGACAAGAGTATGGTATTGATTATGAGGAAACATTTGCACCCATTGCCAAAATGACTATTGTACGAACTATCCTGGCACATGTTATGTCATAAAGGTGGTTTCTCCAACAAATAAACATGAAGGATGCTTTTCTATATGGGGATTTGAAGGAAGAAATTTATATGTCTCAACCTCCTGGCATGTTTGCTACACTTTCCTTAGAGGTTTGTCAATATATGTCAATCTTTATCTGTGTTGAAATAAGCTCTATATGTATGATCTAATAAATTTTGCTCTACTCTATTTGGTTTTCACTTTACTTAGAGTTAGTTTGATTCCTCTTTATTTCTTCGTAAGACTTCTGCAAGGATTATGTTGCTTCTATTATATGTTGATGACATTGTGATTATCGGCTATGATATTGTGTTACTTACGCAATTACAACATCTCAAGGCTTCTTTTCACATGAAAGATCTTGGTCCCTTGCAGTATTTTCTTGACTTTATGGTGCAACTTACTCCGACTGTTACATTGTTACACCAACACAAATACACAGAGGAAGTAATTTCATTAGTTGACCTTTAATTGGGTAATTTTGCTGTTACTCATTTGGAGTTAAATCTTAAGCTTCATCAAAAAGAAGGTGACCTGTCATATTTATCCTTGTATCGACAACTTGTTGGAAGTTTGAACTATTTGACAATTACTCGTCCTGAGATTTCTTTTATTATACAGCAGGTCAGTCAATTTATGCAAGCCCCTTGAAATCCTCACCTTGCTGTTGTTCATCACATTATTTGATATTTGAAAAGCATTTCTACATGCAGATTATTCTTTTTTAAAGAATCTTCCTTACAATTAAGAGGGTGCAGTGATGCTGACTAAGCTGGCTGTGCGGATACTCATCGTTGTGTTACTAGTTGGTGCATGTTTTTAGGCAATGTACTCATTTCTTAAAAGAGTAAGAAGCAAGATAGAGTTTCCAAGTCCTCTACTGAGTTTGAATATCACGCTATGTCTTCTACCTACTTTGAGATCACTTTGCTTTGTGGGTTATTGGGTGAACTTGGTTTTCCGCAGCATCATTTCACTTCTCTTCATGTTGATAATACCAGTGTTATTCAGTTCGCCGCTAATTTTGTCTTCCATGAGTGTATAAACATATTGAAGTTGATTGTCATTCCATATGTGAATACTTTAACTGACATGTGGTTATTATTCTTTACATTTCCACCAAACATTAAACTGCAAACATTTTCACTAAAGCTCTTTCTCGGCATTGACAAGTTCTTGATTGACAAATTAATTCTTGATTGACAAATTAATGCTTCTTGATCTACCAATAATTTAAGGGGGATGTTACGGAGATAATTTAAGGATTTGATTTGTATTATTTCAGGGATGTTTACCTGCCTTGTTTAGCATTTAGGTGCTGAAAATCTGCATTAATTATGTAGATCTTCTCTATATAAACCCTTTGGAAAGGGCATTCAGACCAATTTTGACGGTTAAGTGGTTGTACGAGTTTGAATTAGAAAAGGAGAAAGCTTAAAAAGGAAGTGTTTTCTATTTGCAGCACTTCTCAGGATTTATTCGCTTGCATATGTTTAAATTGTTTGAACCTGTTGTTGATCGCTCTGCTGTGGATGTTTTCGTAAACAAGAATTCTCAGGAAGCTAAGCAGGGTTCTGAATACCCCTGCTTGTCTAGTTCCTGGCAATTGCAAGACTTTTTTTTTGTAGCTTTTGTTTAGTTCTGTTTCTTTGAGTAGTTGTGTTTCCAGCATTCCTTGTGCTCATGTATCAGAAACATTTCCAGATTCGGTTGATTTTAATAATGAATTTGCCTTCATTTATCCAAAAAAATCTCAACCACCTCTATTTTGCTGAACCAAAACCATTAATTCCAATGAATTGCATCTGAATTTCATCTTGTTGTTTTCAGAGAAATGTGAATTATATTTTTCTTTCTTCATATTACTTACATAGAAAGAGTAGGTAACGCTATGATAAGATTGCTTGATAGCATCCGGTGAGTTACGAATTTTGTCGAGTTCCTATACCTAAAGACAAACATAATATAGAATTCCAATCACTGTTTGCCACCTTGGAAAGTGAGTCCAGACAAGTACTATGAAACACAGAGTTTCCAAGAAATTTCCCAGCTTCATCATTATTCAATTATGGCTCTTTTCAGTTTAGCACCATGATCATATCACATTGCAGGACATGAAGGGAAAGAAAAAGAAAATCCAAGTTTGAAACTTGGTGTACTACTTTTACCTGCCACTTGAGAAGAAAGCCCAGTTCTCCATTTGGTCAGTGAGAATTTATTTCTTAAAGCTTGAAACTGAAGTATGTTGTTATGTTTGTTTCTGAAAATGACTTTCTTTTATTTTGTCTTCCATTAGGATTATTTGTAATAACATTCAATGCGAATTTTCTTCAGCCATTGTAATTTATTGGTAAAAGTTAAAGTGATGTTTACTTCTTTGAATGTTCTGCAAGTTTTTTGGAGCAGCTCTCCGCTAATACAACAATGGCAGGAATTGCAAGGACTTGTCTGCAGTCAACATTGAAAATTGTGAATTCGACACTGGGACTTTTTGGTGTAGCAATGGTTCTCTACGGTCTTTGGATGAGCAGAGTGTGGCAAAGAGACATGCAAGACTCATCTTTCGATGATTTTGATTCTAGTGCTCCATGGTAAAGGCCCTCTCTTTAGAATGATCTTCACTATTGTTTTTATCCGTTTGACTTCTCATCATTTGAAGATTTTCACTATTCCGTCCCCAATCACTTACTCTATCATATTGATAAGATTTTCACTAGTTTTTGCACTTGATTGAAACAAGATCCCGATAAAAGAGAAAAAGATTTGTCTGCCTAAGGTTATCTTTCACCAAGTTTATCGGCAGCTTGTTAGAATTTTAGCAGAATGAAGCTTTCTGGCAATTTCTTGGCAGAGTAATTGATTATGAATCTAGGAATGGTTACTACTCACCATTGAAACAAGAAAACGTTTATTGATACTTAATGATTGTTAAACAATTTCCTCTTTTTTTGCACATATTAGAGACTTTTTTTTTTAATTTCTGGAACTTGCTAACATTTCTTCTTGAATTTCAGGTTTATATATACTTTTCTCAGCATTGGGGTTACCTTATGCCTAATAACATGCCTAGGCCATATTTCTGCAGATTGCTCAAATGGCTTTTTTCTTTCTTGTGTATCCTTTTTCAGTCTGGTGAATCCAAACATTCATGATCAAGCAGAAATTTTAAAATCAAATCATGTTCATGCTAAGCATAACTTTGTTGTTGGTCTTAATAGAACATAGTACATGGAAATTATCTTCGTAATTCTCTTACTGGAAACAGCACTTGCAGCAGATATACTCCTAAATTCTGAATGGGAGAAGGTACGCTGCCTCTTTGAACTTCCTTCTACTTCCTATGTTCCATGAAAAAATGTTATTTCGTACTTTTAGGGCTTATATACTCTGTTGCTCTATTAGGATTTACCTGAGGATCCGACAGGGAGGTTCCATGATTTTAGAGAATTTGTGGAATCTAATTTTGACTTCTTCAAATGGATAGGCATATTCATCATCCTAGCTCAGGTACATTCCTGGTGTTTGATTTCTATATTCTACAGGGTCCTTCAAAAGTTGTTCAAATGATTACTGATTAACTTAGTTGTTGATGAGCATTTTCCTTTTTGAAAAAACAAAGAACATGAAGGAAAATTTTGTTTACGCACAATTTTTAAACAGATATGTTTCGCATTTAGCACCCCACTATCTAAGAGTTCCTCGTCTGCAGGGACTTTCTATGTTATTAGCAATGGCTTTAAGAGCTCTTGGACCCAGCAATGAATCCAACTATGACATTGATGATGAACACCCTCCGGCCAGACTTCCACTCATCAGTCACCATTTACAACAACCTCCATACGTTGTTGGTGAACCACGATTTCCGATGAAGAATGATGCTTGGAACGTAAGGATTCATTTCCAGTCAACTAAAGGTCTTTCACTGACTGCATGTATTGTAGCAGACATAATATTTTGCTCTTTATTTTTCATCCTTCTCAGACCAACAAGTGAAGAAAACAACACTTCTTTTCTGCAATGTGATACGAGAAGCGCGAGGGCAAACATTATTATTGAGACGAACATTAGGTTTGGTGAAGGTTGATATGGAATTAATTGATGGAAGCTGCAGCCTGCAGGCATTTTGTGGAACCCTATCCTACTAGTTACTCAGAACTAAGCGGACCCTTTGAAGCTTTTAATTGAAATTTGTAGCATGCATCACACTTGAAATTCACAGCAATCTAATGTTTGAATATTTCTTTCACAGTTCAATTCCAAGAGATTTGGTCACACAAAACATAGAAGATGCTACTTAAATTCTATTTTGTCCGCTCCCAGCATCCAAACACATTCAATGCCGATAGGAAGGATATTCAACTCACCATAGATAAAATCAAAAAATAAATCATCAAAACTGTTGTATGATCTCAATTTGAGTAAACAAAAGAATCTTCTTAAGAGATTGAATAGTTAGTCAAATCAGTTGTTAGTCTGGACTCTAGAACTACAACAAATAGTCTAAATCCTCAAGTACAAAAGATGGGAGCGCCTATGTAATACTTGGGACCTCTCTCTTCATCCGGCTGAAGGGTCCAACTGGCCCGTCCATAATATACGAGGATATGAACTGGCTCCAAGAATTATATGACTCTAAGCCCTCATAATATTCTGGTGCAATCTCCTTCACCTTGTGAAGCTTGTTCCCAGGAATCCTCGGGAAATCATGATGTTCATTGTGGTACCCCACATGCCTAGTTAGAAAATTAAGGGGGGGCATAGGAAGAATATGTTTCTTGGTTTGGATTGAAGACGTGATGTTCTGATATGACCAGCCATTGGGTGCATACCACCACCGACGAAAGTGGAAAGGATCAAATAAGCAAAAGATCTCTAGCCCCAAAAATAAATCACGGCAGCAACTAGGGTTATCTGAACAGAAAAATTAATGAACTCCAACAACCAGGGGGCTTTGGTTTGAGAAAGAGAGGCTGCAAGCATAGAAGAAGAGTTGCAACATAACCCGTATCGATTTGGATACCACATTTGTCACAAGATAGGTTTCAGTATGGCTTGGGATGTCCATATCTATGCCATCGACTCCTTGGAAGCGGTGGTGCTCAAGGTGATACTTTTGAAAAGTTACAGACATAGGTACACCGATAGGGAGATTAGCAAAAACACCAAGCCACCTGTTGTAGACTGGAGTTCAGAAGGTGAGATTGTGGGAGAGCTCATGGATAGCTAAGAAAATATTGTGGTTAAGGAATGAGCCAAAGAAGTAGGCTTTTGTCAGCATCTTCAGCTACCCAACATCGTGAAGTAATGTAGCAGTCCAAAGCTGAAGCGAAACAACCACAGTAATCTGCAACACCATAATCTTGAGATCATGAATCATATAAAAGCATACAGTAACCAAACCAATTTTCATTAAGCATGAGCATTTCCTCAAAATAACATATATAATTAATCCAACAAACTAGGTTCCAAGAACTGTTTTATCGTTGTGTATAATTGCCTAACTGTTCTAAATTCATCTTGTACAAAGTCATGCAATAAAGAAACATAATTGGTTTTATTTTCTCCTCTTATTTATTCGGCAAGATTTGGAATTAGGACATATCAAACCAACCCAATGAAGAACAACGGATGGCATTGCAAGGCCTCCGTCAGACACAGTTTGTACCCTGGTAGAAAAGGTAGAAAAGTGCCTTGAGGTGACAATCTACCTTGAAATCATAGAAAAGCATATAAAACCTCAAATGATTTCGATCAAAGGAATCCTTGTTTGGACCCTCAGAACTTCAAAATAAGTCAAATAAAGGAAGGTGAAAAGCGTATCCATAAATATTTCAGTAACTAGAGAACAAGACATTAAATTAAGAACACGAGCCAAGTTCTTTGATGTGAAACCGAAAGGTTAGCTAGAAGCATTTCCTTGTTCAGCAAACAATGCTTAAATGGTCCAATCAGGAATTATGCAGTTATTTTACCCATTCGGATTGTATACACAAAAGGTATTAAACAAAAAGAATGGCCTTCTCGTGCTCTCAAAAGGGCATAAGAAAACAGGTCAAACTAACACCAAGCGTGATGGAGAGAAGTTGCAAAACAAAGCTATGCTCTTGCAAAAATATGAATAATATATGTTTATTATGTAAACAACAAGAAATCTAATGCAGTAATTGCTCTAGTGGATTATCTGCAGACAAATACATTACCGCGATAATGCCACATGTTTTGGCTTCATATTCCTGAAGAAAATAACCAGGTAATTAAAATTGAGAGGGTTTTTTTCAGAGAATTTACACCGTTAGACAATGCAAAATGAAGAACCGAATCAAAAGGAAATACTAGTAATTTGTCAGAAAAGCACTGTTAACCAGCAGATATGAAGGGGAAAGAAACTCCTGATAGCAGAAATTGTTTATCACATGCACAAATAAAGCAAGTGCTAGTTTTGGAACTTGCAAAACATCAAGTTACAAAAGAAATTCAAGCCAAAAGAAGAAAAAAAACACGCCCCACAAGGATTGGCATTAGAAAAAAAGATTGAAACTTTTCATCGAATCTAGCCGAACAACAAACGCCGTGTCACGATGATCTCCATCTCTTTCTCCTATAGTGGAGTCTGCCTGTCTGTGGCCAATAGCATGTACGGTGTACAGCGCTGGTTTTAGAAATTTACATAGACGCATGTCATTCCTTTTCCTTCTGCCTCAACAACGCCTCCGTGACCTATCCATTGACATGAGGTTCCTGCTCTTTATAATTTTTGGGACTGCAGTCGTAAATGCCACAGTTTCTTCTTGAATCCTTCTTGTTTTTATAAAAGTAAAACGAAGAGTGGATATTGAGTAAATAACCGTAATTTTTTTTTACAAAGGTGGATAAGCTTGTGTTATTATTGACTAATCTTACGGTTTTAAGAAATGATCCTTTGGAAGGTGTAGATTATTTTTAAAGAAGTATTATTTCTTATTTTCAAATAAAATTATTTTTCACTAATAATCCTAACCATCTTAAACCTTTTTAATTGGAAATTAACTTATATTGGTTTAACTAGTAACATAAATAAGATAATAATAAAATATTCTCTTACGTACTCATTATAATATCAATTAAATTCAAAGGAAATCTACACTCCGAGCCAAACTTTGCACCTCCTTTTATTAATACCAGTAAACGAAAACTTGGAATTAAATATCTATCATTAACATATTGACAAATTGGAATGATGTTGGGATTTTAACAAGATTATCTAGATTTTTTCAATAAAATACTGGTAAATTTATCGCCCTCTCTCATTTGTAATAAGAAAAAAGGAGTTTCTTAAAAGAGCAGCACGTCCGAGCAGTATTTGTTTTTACATTGCAACTTAGTTTTAAAAATATTTTTCAAATGATTTTACGCTTGAAAAAGCACGTGACAAAAGAAAAGAAATATAAAAAAAACCTTGTTTTCAATGCTTATTTTGAGCTGTTGTCTCTGTTGATCCATTGCTACGTCATACGAGCTGTCTTCAGCTTGAGGAACAAGACGAATAGATCTTTTTTCTTCTCCCACAGACACAAGACGAATGTGGGACGGAAATTGCAGAGCTTTGATATGCGAGCTCCAGGCTATACAAGCATGTACAAATGTGCTAAAACACGATTTATAAAGCCCATCTTTAACTTCACCTACCAACCCGCGATAACCAAGGTCGGATTTTCTTCTGACAAGAAGCGGGAAGAAAGCCCTGAAACTCCAAGTGGCCTACATTCTGCCTACTGAATTTTCCGTGGTTATGTTATATTTTGGGGGGGGGGTGGTAGCTGTACCATTCATCCAAAGACCAGGGAGATGGCGATTGCGGGCTCTACTTGTCGCCTATCTTACGTGTGAATCGTATGTGTCGAAAAGGTTGTCAGGAATTATCAGAGGCAGCTTATCTACATACATAAAAAGCCTTCTTAGGTTATCTCTTGTCACCGTTGCCATGTCCACAATGTCCCTGCTGTCAGTAAACACCCAGAGATCTCCAGAGTTTACTCTCTTGAGACTGTCACGACAGAAGGGGCATGACTGGGATCTTGATCGCCTGCAAATCATTGCAACAGAACATTATGTTCAGCTATGATTATGTAAAACATTATGAAACGAAGGAACCAACAACTACTGTCATGGTACGGAGAAAGAGATGGCACTAATACACCAACCAGAAAAGTTCAACTGATGAGGAATCAAGGTGGACCATCTAAAAGCCAGGCACAGCATTGCGTAAACTAATAAGAACAACATTCAACTGATGAGGATTCAAGGTGGACCATCTAAAAGCCAGGCACAAAAACCTTACGCTTTCTCAGCCTGCAGCAGGTCTAACACTACGCATTCCATCTTGAACATGTGTTTTACCAGTATCATAGTGAAGGAGGGATAGAAAGACGGTAGCCAAAACAGAAGGCCCCCAATCGTATCATACATCAAGGCTGCAAAGCTGAAGGTCAGGCATGCCACAATAACTAATTTATTTGGGTGACTAGAATGAAAAGGCTTTTTGCACCCAAAAGCCAGCAATCCTGGAATTGCAGAATCAATTTCATGGTCTAGCATTAGCCAAATAAGGCTACCAGGTATCATTATCAACTTCTTACAAAATTCCAACTTAAATTTACCTTCCTTTACAAACATTACAGAACAGAGAGAGCAGTGGGATCACTGTTTACTCAAAAACAGAAATGAGATCATTTTTGATAATTCGCTGATGAACCTGTGGAAATCTTTCAGGTTGATGATGCAGCATCCTTCCACTACAATGCACAACAATTATTATAGCATTTCCTTTGAAATCACAGCCCAGCTGTGAGCCAGGATAGGATGTCACGGATCATGCTTAAGTCAACCGCCATGTCGAAGGACACCATATCTTTCCCTGGTGAGGGATTAACTATGATACATGTAACCAAAAATGAAACAGAATGAAACAATTCTAATTTCCAAATGAAAGCTATTGTATCCATTTCTCATTTAAGTGTAGAGATTGAAAACCTGCACTATTTTTATCAGGATAAGAATAAAGCCTAATAGAAGCATTTTCCATGTGGTCAATAAAAAATCATGGCCAGCAGGGTAACTCCAGCATTTCAAGAGTAAGAGGGAGGGAGAGAGTACCATTCACGGTAACATTTCAAGCACATGGCATGGTGGCAGTTGGGCAGTACAATCTTGCTATTCATCTCCATGCAAATTCCACATTCTTCTTCTCTTTCAATGTCAGCATCAGCACGCTGCCTATGTTCCTCATCATCTCGTCTTCGGTACCTTTCCATGCATACCGCCTTCTGTTTCTTATCTTCTGTGTCAGTGACCCCTCTTTGAAGTTGCAATAAAGAGGGATATATTACAGCTGGCCACAGTAAGGATGCAGATTAAGAAAACAGGGAGGGTCTAACTTAAGTGAATAATAAAGAAATTGTGCACAAAGATAATTGGAAGACAGAAATTTACCATAGAACTCCCTGATACTTGCTTTTCTTTCGTGAGTAGTCATGGTGGTTGTGCCATCCACATAAACCTGAGGTATGGGGAACAACCAAGTTTTCAATGATCCGGTTAATACTAGGGGAAAAAAAAAAGTACAGTCCCGTCCAAATGAACAAAGTTCAACCTTATAAATTAGGATCCTTAGCAGTCCAAGTGCACCAGCAAGATGGCAGTCTGTCCACTGCACAAGAAAAAGAAACAGGTGTGCTGCTGGACTATATGACATTCTCATCTGAAGACAGGCCCCGTCATAATCCCTCGAAATATCTGATGCCCTGCACCAAACATTGCAAAATAAAAATTTAAAATGGAGACATAAGAATCTAGCAATGGATTTAAGTTAATGAGCTCATAAACTTCTTCAGGAAGACGCAAAAACTGGTAAAATGTACAAGACACAGTAAAAAAAATAATCAAAGCATACTTAACATAACCCCCCACCCCCAACCAGAGGCTGCTGGAAACTATTTTAAAGATATTAAAAAAAAAAGGAGAATATGGCATCTCCATCTTAGTTTGCCTTGATGATTTTGGCCTATATGTCCACATTAATCAAGAATTTACAGAACTTATCTTCAAACTTCTAAAACATTGTAAATATGCTGTGAAAAAAAAAAGATTGATTAAAAAGGATGCTTTGTGCTAAAAATCCCATAGTGAACATTCCAGGAAGCCTTTAAAGTCTTCAGCTTACAAAAATTTAAAATAAACTGGACTGATGGTCCTTTACACAACTTAACTCAAGCTACATATGACAGCATCTCCATGAACCAGATACCATTAATAAGCAGATCTAAATATGAGATTGCATTGATACATGATAGGTAGGAAGAGGGTCCCAGCAATAGATAATCCAACCCCAGCAGTCATATCATTATATACAATCACAAATAAAGTGATAATTCCATTAATGGGGTGGATACAATAAATCATGTGAAGCCAAGTACACTCAGCTTATCAAGATAATGTAACTATTCTCCAGTCTCCTCCAACTCAAATAAAATGGCTTCCATTTGCAAGTGCAAATTGCAAAACCCACATAGATATTTTCAACTTGGACATCTTTGAAATACCATTTCAAGTAATAGGCTAACAAAGAAAAGTTTTCAACTTTAACCACGAGATTCATTAAATCAATTACATAAATCACAAACCAGGCAAAACAATCCAGGAATTAAAATCAGCACGCTCAATGCTCGGCTTTAGCATGAAATGCAGCCATACCAACACAAAGTAAAGAGTCTGAACTCAAAAGCGAACAACAAGAACAAATTTCAAAGCCATAAAAAATTTCCATCTTGGAAAAAACTGAAATACACGGAGAAGACTTGCAACAGATGAGATGAAGAGTAAAAATGACTCGAAATTAGATTTTGTCAAGCAAAATTTTTTTTCCAAAGGGAAAAACTGTATATATTAACTGAGAATCTCATATAATTCATTTTGATAAAAAGAAATGAAGAAGAAGAAGAAGAGACAAGGTGGAAATAGTGGCTAAATTCAACAACAACAAAAAAAAGAAAAAACATAATTTAAGTTCAACTCAAGACAAGACAAAACATATTTAAGGAAAAAAAAAAAAACTTTTACCAATCTAACAAGCAAAACATTAAAAAAAAAGAAGCAAAAAGTCAGTACTTCTAGCATTCCACTCAAGCACCAATTACACCCCAAAAAAATATTAAAAAATAAATCACAGACAAATTTAACAACAAACCCCAGAAAACCCAGAAGAAAAGGAGAGAGAACAACTTACAGAGTATTAGCATGTTGAATATCAGCTTCAAGCACTTTAAGAGAGTCCTTGAAAGATTTTCTCACAGACCCTATATACATATCTCTTCTTCAAAACCTCCAGTATCAAGCAATCGGATTCTCTCTTTGGGTAAAAACCCTGAAAATTTTTCTTGTTTTCTCTTCACCAAAACCTCCTTTTCTTTCTTTTTTTTTGGTGGTGGGGTTGGTTCTTCTCAGAGGAGCTTCTTCTTCTACTACTCTGTTCTTGAAAGGGAAGCCATAGATAGAGAGGGGACACGTGGATTAGAGAGTGGGATGTCTTGGAGCTAGCGTTGAAAATTGACAAAAAAAATTACTAATATTTCGAAGATGATCCAAATAGTATTTAATTGAAACCAAGAAGGGTACAAACGTCCATTTAAAATTTTTGTATTAATTATTTAATTCCAACCACATTTTAGGATTAGGTAGTGTTTGCTATACAAAACAGCAAGTACTCAGTTTATGTATTGTTTGTTTTTTTGCTTGGAATTAATTCCTTTTAAAAGTGTATTTAATTTGAAAAAATATTAAAGTAATTTTTTAGTGTATTTTTGATAATTTTAATATATTATATCAAAAATAAAAAAAATCTAGAAAAAATTCATTTAAATATATTTAAAAAACACTTTTAAAAAATATTTTATACAATAATATCAAACATATTGAATATTTTCTTTTTTCCTTGACTTTTTAGGTCGAAATCTTGAGATAGTGCATTAAAAATTATTATTTTCAATACATTGGATCAATATAAAGCTTAAATTTATTTTTAAAAATAAATAGTATTAGTAAAGTCTTATCTTTACAACACCCACCAACCACACTAACTTTTTTTTCAAACTTGTTATGTAGATAGTTTCTTTTAATAATTAAGGTTTTGTTTTTTTGTTAAGAAATGAAGTGTTTTTGAAAAAAATTATTAAAATCTTTATATTCCAATACTCACCCTTGTTATAAAAAATAAATTGAATAATCATTTGAAATACATACAAAGTAATTTTTTTAAAATAATATAGTACCACCAATAAAAAAAAAGATATTTTCCCTTCATGATAAAATTCCCCGAGCAAAGCATAGCAGACTAGTTTTCTTAAATTACACATGAAAAGATATTTTCCCTTCATGATAAAATAGCAGACTAGTTTTCTTAAATTACACATTTCAATGTTTCAAGTGGATATATTATATTAATTTGATAACTCATTATTCTAGTTTTGATTTTCATTAAAAAATTATAAAATTCAATATTTCTATTAAAATAAAATTATTTTAAGATAATATTTTTTATTTGTTTAAATATTTATAATTTAAATTGATTCAAGTAAATTCATCTCATATCTAACCAAGCCCAGTGCTAAGTTGATTTCAAAAGCAAGTGTTGTAACACCATCCATGGAAAGGGAAGGAAATATGGTTCGTGGAAACTTTTTTTCTTCAAACAAACACAGCCTTAAGGAAGCCCGAAATTCCTCAGAGCACCGTCAGGATGCAGCAGCCCGTGACTGCCCCTTATCCACTCTCTTCTCGATATAATAATAACACATCCACTTTCTTTGGCTCTTTGTCTGCCACTTTTACCCTTGCTTTCGGTTTAGCTTTGCCTCCACGCACTCCTGATCGTTACATATTTCCTCATACCTACTCATTGCCCTCTCCTTTTCAATTTATTTGCTAATATACCCTTCACGGCTCTAATCTGTCTTGTGATTATTTATCCCAAAATAGCAAGAAATGAGAAGGTAAGAAAAAAAACAAATCACTATTCCTTAGGAAGTAAGTGTTTAATTCATGTGTATAATTTACACCTATTATATTATATAGTGCAAAATGTTTTTTAAATTATTTTAAAAACTATATATTAAAATAATTTTATTATATGAAAATAATAAAAAAATATCAATTTAATTATTTTTAAATAAAATATCTTTTTTAAAATATATAAAACAAAACTTGGACTTTCAAACACTTGCTTATTTAGATTACCTCCTCTCTAATGTTATGCTACCTATTTCATTACAAAAAAGGATAATAAGAGTTTATTTGAAAGTATAATTGTAATTATTTTTTAACAAGAGTTTATTTTATTTGAAAATATAATTGTAATTATTTTTTTAATTTTTTTTTATATTGTAATATATTAAAATAATATATTTTTTATTTTTTAAAATATTATTTTTAAAATCAATACATTGAAACAATTCAAAAATATTAAAAAAATTAATTTTTTAAAATTACAAGTTGAACACGTATTTTTAAAATATAAAAACAAGTAAACCCTAAGTGTTACTGGGCAATGTTCTGCTATTGTCTTTTTCAGTGTTTTTGCACAAAAGAAATCCATGGGGAAAAAGTTTAGTAGCATTCTTTTAAAAGCAAAAGCCAAAACTACAAGATAAAGCTTTTTTCAGTATGTTATAGCATAAAGGGAAACAACTACAACCATCCTTCTGTATGTAACAATTCAGCAAATTAATTCCTATAAAAGAATATATGATCAAAATTATACTGCATTTGGAAAATTTATGAAGATCAAACCAATTGAACTAGATTGCATTAAATTGTAAGATCTATGCTAATTAAGATTTACCAAAGCGCATAAGAAATTTAAAAAAAAAACATTTTTTTGATAAAATATAGTTCAAGAATCTAAGAGCAAAAGTTCTCAAAAATCTGGCAAGAAATTTTAAGGAAAAAAAAATGTGAAAAAGGACGCAATCATTTGAAAATGTTTAAGTCATAATGAATTTTTTATTTTTATTTTTGGAAATTCTCATGTAATAAAATATTTGAAAACGTTCAATAATAATTAAATTAAATTTCAAATTCTTAAGGAATTATTTTTTACTTCTTGATTTTTTTTATTTGTTTCCAAGAACCTAACGGATGAGAATTTTCAAGATTTCTTTAAAAAAATGAGAAATTTTGATTTTAAAAAAATAATAATATTTCTGAAATTTATTTTAAATTTCTAGAACATTTTCTGAGATTTTAATGGTTGGTAATTTTTGAAATATCTTATCTTGAAATTTTAATTTTTTTCTTAGAGATCTTCAAAAGTGTGTTTTTGTTACAAAAATTACTTTGATATTTAATTTTTTTAATAATTTTTAAAATCTCAGCGACCGAGAATTACCATAATTGTTTTATTTCCTAAAATTTTTGAAAAAAAAAGATAACTTTTCTATTCCTAAAACATTTCTAAAACGTCTTAGTTGTTGAGAAAAAACAGTTCAACACGAAATGATTTAAAAATATAAAAAATAATAAAATACAAATTACACCAACCTCAAACAGCCTCAAAATCTGTCTCGAACGCCGGCGAGTCTACCCCCGCCCCTGTTTCAAGCCAGGGTAGATGACCCTTGAGGACGACGGTGGGGATTTTGGAATAATGAGGCCCCATCAGACTGGGACAGAAGGAAGGGAAACTAAACAATGTTATGATACCGAAAGTGATGGCTCTAGAGTCAAGGCAGCTAAGATTCAAGCTGTGATTTGTTCTTATATTTTAAAAATATTTTTAAAAAGATTTATTTTATTATTATTATTTAAATTATTTTAATATATTAATATAAAAATATTTTTTTGAAAAAAAACACTTTAATTGTCGGAAAACACAACCTAAGGACAGTCTACAATTTAAGGAGAAATCATTACAAACGCCTATTTCAGAGTCTGATATTTTATTTAAGAGCCCAACCTTCTATTCTTGATATTTTATTTCAGAGCCCAACCCTTGAGTGCGTACCTCTACTTGATATTGTTACATGATGATGATGATGATGATGTGATCAGTATAAATTAACGCCTGATTGGTATTTTTTACCTATACATGAGTGTTATCGTGTAACTTACGAGGCAAAACATTATAGATCCTCGCCGTGTTTTTGGTTATCTATTTTTTAAAAAAAAATATTATTATATTAAATAAATAATTTATTTTGATTTGTTTAATACATTTATATATATATATATATATTTATATATATAGCATGGTCTTTAAAACACATCAAAATATTAAATTGGTTTTTAATTTCATGAAAAAAAATAATAATTGATTTTAGTGTTAGTAGAAGATTGAAAATAAAGAAATTAAAATTAAAAAAATAAAAATAAAAAATAACATTTTTTGTTTTTAAAATATAATGGTGTCAATTTTAATCTCTTATCCTTCGTTGATTGGATTTTTTATTTATTTTCAGTTTAATTTTTTAATATTGTGTTAATAGAATTGATGATTTGTTTCAATTTATTTTGAGAATATTTGTTTTGTAGATAATTTTTATAGTTATGGTTTAAAAAAAATATGGTTAGGTGTGGCTAGTTGGATTTAGGTTAGTTCTTGATTTCATGAAAAAAAAAAAAGATTTTATTATTTGAGAAAAATTGAAAATAAAAGGGCTAAAATCGAAATAGAGAAAGAATGGGAGGCCTTTGAAAAAACATTATATCAGCACCTTTGACCTCGAAATTCTGTCAAACTTTCTCTTCGGTCTCTTTACTTCAGAAATTAAACAGGAAGAACGCAGGGAAGCATCAACTTGTTTCGCTCCTAAACTTTAGTCAACTTGCATGCATTTTATACCTTCAATTATTGATTTATGTATAAAGGAAGCGAGTTTACACATAAAGTTGAGAGATGGAGCAGCAACATGCATGTTAGTGATGAAAAGATAATCAATTGTCAGCTGATGATTGAATCTGGGCACATCATTGTTCATGATGAAACCCATGGATGATTAGCCTAAGGGTGAATAAATTGAAATAATTGAGATGGATGCTCTTCATAATTCAGCCCTTTTATCTCTCAAGTATAGGGATGACTGTAATCCCTCTTCTTTTCTGCAGAATCTGATAAAAATAAGCAATCATTGTTGCCTCAGCAGCCAGCATGCAACCAACCTGCTGCTGCAATTCCAATTATGAGTTCTGCATAAAAGGATCTAAACATAGAGAATAAATTGGAAAAGGGATTTAATTTCTACGCACATACTTTCTAGATCTCCTCGTCAATTTCTTATTTCATCCAAGATTTGACCTTGCATCCTCTTGAAGGATGCTTTATCATCAAGTTGGTGAGCCTCACCAAGCAGCTCAATCTATTTAATTATGATAGGTATATGGTCAATTAACCAGTAATGTTAATCTATAATATAATCATGATTTTCATATTTATTATGAGTTTTATATTTATGTAATCATCCAAGGTCCAGTTATTCATATTTGTTACTGATATTCTCTCCTGATGTTCATGTTTTATGAAGAAATAACGGCACTGTTTTGAAGAAAATTGATGGAAATTACAAACAAGCATGAACAAAAAGCTTAATTGATAACACTATCAAATTTAATAATCTCACCTATAAGGATATTATTTTAAATAATTGGGACAAACCCATATCAGTATTATTTTAAATAAAAAATATTAAAAAAATATTATTATTTTTATAAAAAAATTAAAATTAACCCGGTTAAATTTTATCTGGATTTGACCTGATCATCCTATGAACTCACTTGGATTTTGCCGTTTCATTATCCAAAATAATTTAAAATAAAACCTAATATAGATTCTCAACAAGAGATTGAATCACCTTGTAAAACCAGGCTAGGTTTAATTGACTATTCATCCACCACCTCATAAAAAAAACAGGGAGGAGCAATTAAATCTATGAGTATGTAGGGCATAGGAGGGAAAAGGATATTTGGTGGGTGGGAAGGGCTGATATGTGATGTCCAGCTCACTAGGCTAAGCCATAACCTGTATATTATCCTGTCCACCTCATCATTCAACAAATAAACACTATTATATAGTTTTCTGAATAAAAAAATATCATTGTTGGATAGGCATTTCATTGCACTGTCCCTTTCACCCATTCTTAGATGAACAATATTATTTATTTCAACATTACTTGCAACTCTCAAGTATTGTGTGCAATTATAACTTTAAATATGTTCATGCAGATATTATTTGATCTATTCAGAGTATATATTTAATAGATTAATTTGAGTTAGTTTTATCAAATTTTATTAAAAATAAAATTAACTAGGATTAATGAGATCTACCTAATTATACTAAACAAGCTCCAATTTAATTTAAAACTCAGCACAAGTTAAGCAGAAGTTAAGCAAGTTACAAAATTACCGGATTAAACCACATAAACAGCAATTTAACATAGAAAGTGTCTATTTAGGAATACGATGCAAACTTGCACCTTGTTGTCTTAAATTTTAAATATTTTTGTTAAAAATTATTTTATATACATAAAAATTTTAGATCGTTTTCATGTGTTAATTTTAAAAATAATTTTTAAAAAATAAAAAATACTTTAAACTATAATTATTACTATAATTTTAAACAGAACTAAAATCATGAGAGAGAAACTTGGCGAGACATGGTGGTTGGCTCAAGAGCAGAGCAGGCTGCAGAGCTTCTTTGCCCTTGTCGGATAATTTCACTAGGAAGTAAAAGTGTCCAAGGACTCGTGCCCGAAGGCCAGATTCATGCATGGCTTTTATAGCCTTGGGCCCTTAGCAAGCATCTATAGTTAAACAACCATCGGAATCGTTCCAATGAGATGGACTCAGCCCTTTATTGCCTAGACATTGTCAAGTATCAACCCCAAACTTTAAACATTCTTCATTTTAGTCCCTATATTTAAGGATTTTCTTTGATTCGGAATATATATATATATAAAAAAGCTCTCTTACTTTATTTCATTGTATTCCAAATATATATTTTTATGCATATATTGCCCATCCTCGTATTAATTTTATTACTGAAGAAAAAAGATAGGAAAAAAATAAAAGATAAGAATATGGTTACAAAGTATTTAAATTATTCAACAGATTCTAACCTGGTACGAGAAGGTGAGGAACCATGTGAAAAGAGCATGCATCTTGGTGTTGTAAATTTTGTCCCCTGGGGGGAGCTAGACTCTTCGTACGAGTATTAACCTGCCATTGTCTAACTCGAAAGTTCTTGAGTTCTTGCCTCCTAACATCATTGACAAAAAGCTCAACCTCAAGCTTGTAGTTTAACTAGGCATCGAAGGTCACGTGGTTTTTTTAATACGACATAATTGCTTTTAATAATTTATACATGGTTAGATTGGTTGTTTTATTTTTTACAAAGTAAAATTGTTAGTTTACTCTTACAATGAAAAAAATGCGATGCTTTTTAATTTGGGGGTTAGAGTATTTTTAATTTTTTTCTCCATGGAGAGTCGTGAGTTGTGAACTCTCCTCTCGAGAAGGGATCCATTTTATGCAAATAATCATGGTAGAATCCTCAAAGGTCTAGATGATCAGGTTATAAAGAAATATAAAATTGCATCTATCCTTGTGAATGTGTGTGAAGAATGGGAAGAACTCCTTGTGGAAGCTGACAGAAAATAGAGGCTGGCGCTATCAATTGACGGGAATGATTTGAGAGCCTTGTACAATTGAGGTCTTGCCCTCTCCTTTCGCGCGCAGGTGATTTTAGATATTGGACCAGTAAGCGTTAACTGGCACCTTGACATTGTTATAATTTTATTGTTGATTCTGTATTGTGATGCTCAGAGCTGCTTGGTTTGGCCCTTCTTGTGCAAGTGTCCATATAATTAGCTCGATTGGGATTTGGACTAGGAATAAACTTTCAGGAAGTAGCGTACTTCTGAACAATTTAACACTATCGTTTTGGATTTCAGGAAGCTGCTTATGATGCTGACAAAGTGTTCTTGGCTGCAATTGACAAATTTGATGCCATGTTGTCCGAAGGCAATGTCTACGCACCAGATGGTGAGTAACTTTGTTTTCTTTACTAAAATTCAGTGTGTTATAAACCTGTACTGAAAGGCTTCGTTTTACAAAAGATGATATTCATTAAGACAATTATAATTGGATAAAGGGAGACTCTTGTGCCTCACCTGAAGCTCAAAGAATCATAGCAATGTAGGAGTTGCAAACATAATGTTATCATCATCATTCATTAGATAAGATTTGTAAGATTTGTATCTTTCAAACACATGCGCTGATTGCAATCATAAAGTGCACTTATTCGTCAAATAACAAAATGAATGTTCTTTCAGAAGCTATAGAAAAACAAGGAGTGCGGCAAAAAAGTATGAAATCATGCTGAGTTCAACACTTGTGGTTTGCAGCCTTGTATAGATGGGGTGTGGTATTGCAGCAGAGATCTCGTTTACGGCCAACTAATAGCAGGGAGAAAGTGAAGTTGCTGCAACAGGCAAGGAGGCTATATGAAGATGCAGTTCACACGGACTCTAGCAATCTTCAAGTAAGAGAAGCCTTGTTGTCATGGATGTCTGAGTTTAATCATAGGTTCTTGTGATCACTTTGAAGCAGGAGTTGATTGTTTCAATGCCCTTTATTTGAATTCCTTCATTCTTCCTAGTTTTAGTTCTCCAGCTAGGTTGTATTCTATGTATAGAGATTAATACCCAGATAAGAAAATAAAACGAATAAGGTCTTCCTAATCTGCTCGAGGCAACCACCATCACTTCAAGCAACTGATGAAGTCTCCTTTTCTTTTGTAGAACTATGCCATTTGTTTTTCGGGCATGTTCCACCTGAAACACCAATAAATGACCTTGTTAATGAAAATTATTGTTCTGTTCCTTTTACCTTTTTTTTACAATACCTTTGATCACACTTGGGAAACGACTCTTTGTTGATAGAAGACAGTGATTTTCCATTGTAGAAAAGAACATCTTGTGATCAAACTTGAAGTCTTTACCTTGATATAATGGTAGCAGTCTTGGTTTACAAGCACAAGGGACTTTTATTTTGATCAGTTGTATTATTAATCTCTTTTTAATTCTGCCCTTCTTGACTGGATTATACTATGTGAATTATGACCGTCTAAACTGACCAGATTGCAAATGAGTGGACGGGTTTTAATATGCATCTGATGCGAATTTTTAATATGAACTCGGCTGAGCAAAGTGACGAGGCAAATGAGAGGAACAGATATGATATGCATCCATCTCTGACATTTCAAACACTGTTAGCCATTTTCAACATTTTTTCCGAGTTATTTGAATGTAGTGAATGCCTCAACGAGAAGTCATAACGTCTTTGAAAGCAAATCAAGTTTCTAAGCTCTTTGATGCCAAAACGCTACTGTTTGCAGCAAAATTCATATCATCCACGCCCCTTGAAATGCTTGTTTCTTTCGACAATAACAACCATTATATTGGTAACGGTGAATTAATTTAGTTCATCATAAAAGGTCTAATTATCGAACAATTCCTTGGAATGTGATGTCCATTCTGGCATTTTCACAGTTTAATTAAAATATAACGTTTTCGAAATTATAAATATATTTAAATACTTAGGGAACCGTAGAACAATGCTCACACCATAGACCTCAAACGTTCCCGCAAAACTTTAATCATTCCTGCGAAGGTAACAACACCAGCCAAAGTGCCATCCTCTTCAATAACCCATGTGTAGCTTAAACGATGTGAAAGGGCTTGAATCATCACTGCTACCAATGAGCTCCATGGATAGCACACAATTGTCTCGGTGCTCCTCCCCGCTCTTGCTGAATTCCCAGCTACCCTCCCACTCCTTCCCATTTCGAACTCTTCGTCTGACGAAGATGAATAGAATGAATCAGATGAAGATGATAAAATTCCTGATTCCTCTTCTATTAAGTCCAACGCAGGTCCTAGATTCCTCTCTTCCAGTCTTTCCTTCACCAACATTATCAGGTCCTCCGGCGGGTCACCACATTCTATGTAAGCCATCAACTCCCCGGCTGAAAGTGTCGCAATTGCAGCAGCCACTGTCTCGTCACAGAAGTTCAATGTGAATGGTGAGATTTCGCCAATCAACTTGCCGTCTGCATCAAGAATTGCTACCGATGTTTGTTTAACGAGGGATTGAGAAATCAAGGGCAATGCAGCAGGGTCATCGTAATGGACGGTAAAGAAGGATTCAGTATCAATGATGTTGAGGGACTCGATGGTGTGGTTTGGAGTTGGAGAGAAGAGGCCAATGGAGTTGAGGAGGTAACGGACTATGTCTTCCTGAGTTAGCCAGCAGTACTCACGGTTGTTGTGAAGGGTGGAATTGGCAGTGGATTTGCTTATCAGCTTCTTTCTTGTGTAGGGGTTGTGAAGTGGTATCACAAGGTTCTGTGCACCTTCAAGGATGAGATCTATGGCCTCCAGTAAGCTGAAAAAGTGTAAGAGAAAATCATTAGATGCACATCAAAACACAATCAATATGAGACAGACAGAAACAGAACAGGAAATCTCGATGAAAACCAGTTTCAACTGCGATAGTAGTCATCAAGAGATGCAAGTTTCAGATTCCCATCCGTTTCGTTTCTTTTTACTACTTTTGATTACAGGAGAAAGGCTCAGACCTGAGTCGTTCTCTTGAGAAGGAGGGGGGAGGGAGGGTGAGTGCCGTTTAGCAATCGGCAGCCACACATCAGTTACTCCAAAATTTGTCTCTTTTATGCAAAATTTCAGATGGATCTTCAGTGATTTTCAAGTTTCACCAAATAAATTTTCTGAACTTAGTTGTCGCATATAAAATTGATCAAGATTTTAAGTATTTATGCATCACACCTGCAGGAAAGAAATCTATAGACGTTGAAATCTCAATTAAAAACATGTCGATGGTCACCTAGTTTCGAAATTCTGGACACAACAGGGTTAGGGGACACATTTCAAGAAAACATTAGAATTTTAACCAAAGAAAAACAAAAACAAATAACTCAACCCAAATGCAATCTAATAATAGAGATGAGAAAAATATAGAAGGTGTGATAACAACAACAACATTACAATAAAGAGAAATAAACATTAGAAATCCAAAATTCTCTAAACAAACAAACAATTCCAAATCCCAAAAAAGAAAACCCTTTTCAAAAAATCAATGGACATACCTGGCGTGAGGTTCCAGGTGCCTAACAAGTCCAGAAACCTTAGAATTTAGAAGCAGGGAGACCGGCTCCTGCAAGGCTTTCCCTGGATTCTTCAAATTCTCTTCTTTAGACAGGAAGCAAATCACATCTGCCAAGCAAACCTTCCCAATGCATTTACATTCTGCAAAGTCAACCTTGATTGATCTTGCAGAGTTACAACGGTGATGTTGATCACAGCTCCAAACGCTTAAAAACAAATCACCAAACCTCTTAAGAGCAGACAACGCTTCCCCGACGGTTGCAGAAACAGACAGAGAGCTCAGCGCAGGTTTTCCAAGACATAGATCCGACACCTCATGAGATAAAATACTTGCTGCCATGCACAGAAAGAACTTATCAGAGAGGAGTAAGAAATCAACACAAGGGTTTTCTTTCTTTCTTTTTGCAGAGAGACTTGTAAGAGGAGAGAAATTTTGGAGAAAACAATGGAAGAAATGTAGGGCGGTGGAAGTGTAGCGTGGGAGAAGGAAGGTTATTTATAGGCAGTGTTTTACGTTTACTATCATGGACGGATTTTTTTTAAAAGATTATCACAGTAATTTAAAAGTTATTTTCAAAATAACACTATTTAAAAAGAATTTATTCTAATAGTATATTTTTATTTTATAACTTTTTATAATTTAATATTTATTAAATATTTTTATTTTTAAGCATGGCATAATAATTATTATACTTTAAAAATACAATATATTATAAAATTTAAATATCTATGAGATTAATTAAATTATTGTCACGTTTTAAAACCAACATTAGTTATATATCATTGTTTTGAACTACAATATTAATTAAATGCTGTGGTTTAGAAGTATGATAATTAAAAATATATTATTTAGCTGAAAAAAATTGACTCTTTGTTAATTTATTATTATTATTATTTTAGATGCTAATTGTTCAGTTTAGCCTCTCGTGGACCTGCTTGGCTGGTTTTTAGAGACCGCTCTATAGTAGCTTGTTTTTTATTTATTTACAGATAAAAGGTTATTTGATTAGTAAAATAATATTTATTTTTTGGAATGAGTTTTATATATAATTGCTAAAATAATTTATTTTTTTATTTCTTTTACATGTAAAAAACTAACTCATATTAATTTTAATCAAATATATTTTTTAAAACCATCTTTTTTAAAATTATGACTAAAATTATTTTTATTAAACTTATATTTTAAACTGTAACTGCGAAAGCTATAGAGCAACTCTGAACACGCACTAATTTATCAATCAAGGTCGACAATGAATAATGTAATAAATTATGCCATTTGAGCATTATTTATCAACCAAGGCCCACCACATGGACCCACCACAATCAACGGAGTTCCGCTCCCCTGAGCACGCGTAAATAGATACTGACAGAATGTTTTAATTTGCATAATAATAAATATTGAATTACGTGTATTGGGATGTCATTTATGGAAAGGCATCTGCTCACTTATACATGAAGATTACCACTTCATTTAATATTAATTAGATTGTGTCCTTAAGTCACATGTTAGAGAAACCCATAACTCTATTTTTTTTTTCATTTTTTATACCAACAAAGAATCAAAGTTATTAAATATAGTACAGGTCACTAATTATATGGTTCAAACTTATCAATTTAGAATGACATTGTTAAAAAAAAAAAGTTCAAATATAATATTTTAATTTTTTTAAAAAAAATTAAAGCCAAATCTTGATTAGATTAACTAGTTCCAGGATAATTTATTAGGTCGATCAGGTCTAATTAAATTATATTTTATTAATTCATTTTAAAATCTAACTCAAATTAGATTTCAAATTAATAAATTACTGGTTGATCCATTACAACGAGTTAAATTAAATAATCATGTTTAAAAATATAATTACAACGAGTCAAATTAAATAATCATGTTTAAAAGTATAATTATAAAAAAAATATCTATATTATTATCCACGTATACTACACTTGAACTTTAAAAAGAGAGAGAGAGAGAGATTTTTCATTATTAAATAGTTAATGATAAGTTAGGAATTTTTCACCTTAAAATTTAGCCCTATACGGTAATCTAGTTTCGACTAAACTAAATCTTATCTTATCATTTCACTTATGTTTGTTTATAATTATGTGTTTCATAAATTCAAAGAGATTTTATAATTATCTTGTTATAAACAAATAACAAACACAAGTAAATAATCTCAAAGCATGCAACAAATACAGAAAAATCTCTTAACATTTACTAATTTTTTAAACAAAGGATTTATATAATACAAATATGTGAGTTATGCACAAAAATTGTATGTTATACAGTGAAAGCCTTCCAACCCTATTTATAAATAAATATAAGAGGTTATAGAGCATATAACTACCATATCTATTTTTTAGAAAGTACAAGGCACTTTCTCCTCCAAATTCCCGTGAACCTAGTGAGTAGTTTTGAGTTTTGACTTATGATTTTAATGTCTTGAGAAGGAATTCAGTAATACTCTCATGTTCAGCAATCATGCCCCTATAATCTGGATACTCATTTTCTCATGATGTCATAATTATTACAATTATAACTATCAATCACATTGTTGTAACTGTAACCCACAATCTATTTGTCTATATGTCACCCTTCTACTGATATTCTAGCTGTGTGTTTACCATATTAAAAAGTCTATCATCTAAGTCTAGTTTCATCATGTCAAAAATCTATGACTTGCACGAAATCAATACACGTTACTTGCTAAATTCAATATTGCCCAATGTAGGTCGCCATTGTCCTTTGCCGATGAATTTTAAATAGTGTGCATTCATTTAATTTCTTGTCGAGATTTTACAGTTCCTATGCGGCAATCTAACCCCCTACCAAATTTAGCCTTCTATCTTTCTATCAACTTATATATACCTAGCAACTAAGTGTTTCCCCTCACCTAAAGTTTTCTTACTCTCTTATGTTACGAGACAAGTGGAACACACAAGTATAAAGGATACAACGCCTACATACATACAAATTATTACATGAACTAATCTCAATAACAAATAAAACACGCAAACGTGTGTGTGCTATACACAAAACTTGGATGTTACTTAGCAGCACTTGGTATTACGTAACATAAATATTTTTTTTATTCCTGGGATTAATTAATTAATTTTTGAAACAAATTAATTATGGATGACATTTTCTATTAAGTTGTTCGATTTATTTGAATGAATAGTTGCATTTTGAATTCTACAGGTATATTGGTATGTAAATATGTGCCTTTAAATTCTATAAACATATTGGTACGAAAATATATGCCTTT